GATCAACCGCAGGTTTGCGTCCCGCGCCCCGTGATCGAAGGGGACAGTGCTGGCGCGCGCTGTGGAACGCATACCCCGAGCCTTGTGTCTTTTGCGCGGGCATCCTGTGCCAACCCTTTAGCAGTCAAAGAGTTGGAAAGTACTGCGCAACGTCGGATTCTTGATGAATTCCCCTGCATTCATCCTGGAGTGTGTGCCTGAAGCAGCCAGCAATCAGCGCGTCCGAGCCGAATTCCGTGCATTTTGCCACGAGTGCGGTTGCCAGGCGCAGCCAGGCTACGTCCAGCAAGCAAGAAGAGCGAGGTGTTTACTTGCAGGCACCTTCCATGCTCACAGATCAGGCAGCCCGGGGATTGCTCAGGCTCGCCGTATGATCATCCCGTGATCAGACCTCTGGGCAATAGAACGAAGTGGCCCCCACAACCACACATTGTGTTTGTGTGCTTGTGTGCTTGCGTGCCTCTGTGTTTGTGTGCTTGTGTGCTTGTGTGCGTGTGTGTGCTTGTGTGTGGTGTGTTTGTATGCTTGTGTGCTTGCGTTCTTGTGAGTGTGCTTGTGTGTGTGGCGTGTGTGTGTGTGTGCGTGTGTATGTTTTTGTGTGTTTCTGTTTGTTTGTGTGTGTGAGTGTGCGTGTGTGTGTGTGTCAGTCGGTCAGTCAGCCAGCCAGCCAGCCAGCCGGTCAGTCAGTCGTTTGTGGGTTAGTTAGTTGGTTTGGTGGTTGGTTTGTTAGTTGGTTGCTTTGGTAGTTGTGTTTGTTTCTGTCGTTCTATCATCACGATGCCGTGCATGGTGTTACCTGTGCACATCATGTGCCTCGCCTCGCTTTGCCTTTGCGTGCGCAGATTCGACTGCCTACTGGAACGCGCTAGTTCATGGTCGAAAGCGATGGATGTTTCTGCGTCCAGAGGACTGCTAGTGGAGAGGTGGCAGGGCATCTAATGTATGGGGAGACCCTGAACAACACACAATTGCACGGCCACATTAGGCAGTCAACACGCCCAAATCCAGAAGCAGTGAGAATTAGGGAATGTTGCGTGTCAAAATGCTAGCCCGCGCTTTGCTCTTGTGGGTTCCTTTCACATGCCAACCAACGCATAGGTTTCTGCGTTGAGACAGGGCCGCCTCCTGACCTCTTGAGGAGCTGACTTCCCTCGCAGAAGCCATTGTGACCAAGGGCCTGGCGCAGGACGCCAATTGTGCTTGAGTTTCCTTGTGTTGTTTGTTCAAAGAGGACATCGCCGTTCCTGCCGGCACTTTCCGGTCCAAGATGGTCGCAGGAAGTCGCCAACCTGACATCGCCGCCTACGGTCCATGTGAAGGAAACGGCTCGGCAGGTAAAAAAGCGGGGTGCTCAGAGACAGACATTTGGCATGTTCAGTTTTTACAGGTCCTGTGCCAAGCATCGTTGATTCCACCAGCTGTACTAGATCAGCAGCCTACACTGGACACTTGTGTTTGCGAAGATAGAGCATCTCAGGTTGCTCAAGCAGCTGCCCGCCATAAGCTGGTTCGGCCGGCTGCTGCCGCTTCTGCAGAAGGTGCGCCCACAGCCGACGTCATATATATATATACACGGTTATAATACATACATATATATATATATATGTCAAGACGGTTCAGCGCGTGAGGGTCGCATTTTGCTTGCCTCGCCAGAATAACCATGCTGGCGTCATTGCTGCTTGATGCTACTTGTTCCTGGCAGGCCCACGTGGACTTTGCTCGACAAGAGGCAATGGTACAGGCTGGCTGCAACATCGCTGCGGCTTGGGGATTCAGTGACTACGTCCCCAACAGCACCAAAACCCTACTCCCAAACCCCAGACCCACTATCCCTCCCCCTTTTAGCTGTTTTTGCCTCCCGCTCTTTCCTCTCTGTCTGCTCTCTCGCTTCTCCCTCCGTCTCCCCCTTTCTCCCTCTCCCTCCCTTCCCCTCCCTCCGTCTCTCCCTCCTCCTCTCTCTTTGTTTTGTTCTGCGGTAAAGGTGTCGAGCAAAGCATTGATCTTGCCAGGCGGGCGAGCTGGTCTACGGTCCGCCGGAGGTGTGGCACATTGCCCTGGCGTTGGAGGACTGACAGCGATGCGAACAGTCACGACGGTATACTCAAACCCACCACATCACGGTACGTAACCTTTGATTCGACCCTTGAACTTGAGATAGTTGGGAAGGATTTCAGCGCTTCCTGATGTTCCGCCAGCTCAATTGTCCCTTGTTTTGTTTACGCCCGCAATTGGTTGATTGCTGGGGGCTTCGTATTCTGCGGAGAATCATGCAGTGCCTTGCATGCCTTGCGGCCAGGATTCCATTTGCTGCAGCGAGCAGCTCATCGATGAGGGCAACCTGCTCCGATTCGTCAAGGCTTGCTCATCGCTTTTTCAGTCAACGTGAAACGGGCGGGTGTGCCAGCAACAAGCAATCAAGAATGGGTTGCAATACGTGCAAGGCGTCAATTTATTTAGGAAGAGTGCGTTCCTGCTTAGAATCACAACAAGCCAACCCATTTGTGGGGTCATTAAGACTGGGAATCATGCATGCATTAAGTTGTCATTTCAAGCATGATGCGATGAAGGGATGTTTATGCTGTTGGTTGAATTGGAGGAGCGTGTCATGTGGCAAAAACAAACTACAAAGGTGTTCACTGTCAAGCCTTTGCCAGCGAACATGAGGGATCACATGGATGAAGCATAAAGTCTCTTCATAAGTTAGCAACAAGAGCGCAACGCTCGCGTTGCCAGGATGAAGGTCAAGACTACGAGCCGTCGTTTGCCTATTTGGGCTGCGAGGCCAGGTCAGAGAGCTTTGATGGAATGGGGATCTGTGAACTTTAGATGTCCACTAGCCAACGGCAAACCCGCTGTTTGACTTGAGACCCGTTGTAACCTCACGAGTCTGGAGAGTGGGCACCCGGACGGCCCGGACGGCTGGTTTCCATTTGGTTTCCTTTTGAAACAAAGGAAACCGATAGCAAGGGGCGCGTCCGAGGCTGGGAAGAGGCACTGGCCTGGGATCATGGCCGGCAGCCCGAGCTTCGCAAACAGCGGCCAAGTGCCATCCCTTCTCTTAATGATTAGAGTGTGGATACCAGGGACAAGCCATTCTTCCCAGAGCAATTGCAGTATGCACGGGCCTTTCAAACATACTACAAATGCCAGTGTCGTTGAGCTTCGTTGTTGACAAGAACTATCACCACAAACCAAAAACGGGAATCCGTGTTCGATTTCAAGTCATGCAGCGTTTGAAAGTTTGGCCCTGCCACGATGTTTTTTTTTTTTTTTTTACGAGTAAAACAAAGACAATACACATATATTTGAATGTTGGTTTGTTGAAATGTTGACAGCTAAGTAGTGGATCCCAAAGCAGCACAGGGATCACGTAGATGCTGATTTGGAGGAAAGCTTGGAGAGGGACACACTATATGCAGAGTTGGAGGACTAGAAGCTCCAAATTTTGCTCGTGAACAAAGCAAATGAACGTTTTGAATGCTTGAAGCTCCAAAACCTGCACGGGGACAAGCAAGCAAACATCAACAACTCGTGGGGAATGAAGGTCCTGGTAGAAAGTTTCTCTGTGTTTGTTTGTGTGCAGGTATTGGACCTTAAGGGATCCCAAACTGTCACTTGTGTTTGTCCCCGCGCAGGTGTTGGATGTTCGAGCTGCCAAAAAGTGCATTTAAGTTTGTCGCTGTGCATGCTTCAGTGCACTGAACTTCCAACACCTGCACAGCGGCAGGGCACAAACGAAAACAACGAAAGCACTGGATGAATCAGGGGATCCCAAGCCAAAGCTGCTCGCGGAATTCCATGTTTGTTGTGTTTTTTGTCCTTGTGCAGGTTTAGACCTTTGATCTTAAAGTTGTTTTTGTTTTTATCAAAATAATAATGATATATGCATATTTATTGTTTGTCCCTGTGCAGGTTTGGTGGCTTCAAACTTCCAAACATGTTGTTGGTTTTTGTCCCTGGGCATGTTGTAGAGCTTGGAGGTGCAATACTTGGTGTTTTCCAGCAGCTTACGTCTAACGAATAAATGCGCAGTTCTAGGCCTTGGCCAATGCATTAAAACCGCCGGGAAACCAGAGAGTACGCAAATGCTTGAGGTTGGAAGCGCACGCAGAGAGTGTGTGCAATAGACGTTTTTGTTTCGACTTTGCCTAAACCAGGAAGTCTAATTTAACTATGCAAAGTTGTAAAACATACTATTGAGCAGATGTTGCTTACAAACCGGCCTTAACACTCACAGCCCCAACGTCTATGAATGCAATGCTTGTCAATTGTGAAAGGTGGGTCCTGGAGGGGGAGAACAAAATATATGTATGTACATACACTTGTTTTTCCGTCTTCAGGGATCCACTTGGTTGTCCCGCCATCTTTGGCAACTTTCTGCCGTTCCCCCCTCAGCATACGCAGCTGCCTGTGCAGAAGCTTCCAGTTTTCCAAGGAACCCATGGTTCATGCGCCCGTGGCCACTTAGCCAATGCTATGCGCGCTCTGCCTTGAGCAGAAACACGCGTTTGCACAACTTGCCTTGCAGCCTTAATGCCACAACCCGCTTTGCACAAAGGACCTGTCATCACACCCTCCGCTTCAGAAGGGATGCGCAGCACCATGAGTGAGGTCTCCAATGACGGGCCGGCTAGTCTCCCCGCAGCTGGTTGGAACCGTTTGTCACTCGAACCTTGCCAGCGAGCTTGAAATCCGCAACTGCGTATGGAACAGCGCTGTCACACCGTCAGGGTAACCACCCCGGCTTCACCAGCCTTGACTCCCCTCCACCGCTCACAGTTGGCTGCCGTAGGCAAGAAAAGGCTGCCCGTGGCGTGGACCTTGTCTCCTGCACACAGGCAGACCCCGGTCTCGTCTCTCAAGCCCCACGGCGAATTTAGCGTTAAGGCAAAGTCCCACGGATCCACACCCAGCAGTTGTGCCAACGCGCGCCCTGCTGGTACCACACTTTCCCTCCAGGAAGTCAACTTCGTAAGCGCCTGGAGCAAGTCGCAGTCTCTCTGGGTCATGGCCGGCACCCCACAGTCCCGTGCGAACTGCAAATTGACGCAGATCGGCATAATTAATCGTCTCTTAGTCAACGGCATGCGCGGACACTCCTTGCGCTAGGGGCGACTGCGCCCAAGCTGTCGGCTCGGCTTCAGCAATGTCGAAATTGTCAAGCAGAAGATCAAGCTGCTCCCTTAAGGCAGCCCCAGCCTCCGCCAAGTCGTTGCTGAGCTGCGCGCTTTTGAGCGAAGCCAACGTGTCTGACAGCCGCCGCGCAGTGACTCCCACATGCTGGAAAACGTGCATGACTGCTCCAGGCTGGGTGTCAGCACCAGCAGCACTCGTCCCCGCGGCTCCCTGAGGAAGCCAGTCGCAGGCCTCTTCCTCAGCTAGCCGACCTAAGCCCGCAGGGTCAGGGTGCTTCAAGGCGTAGCATTCCGTGCACAAAGTTGGCGCTCCGCCCATCCAAGCCCACTCTGCCCGGCAGCAACGGCAGCGCGTTGGCACCTCTTCGCCAAGGGCTGTCCTTGCAAACTCCTCCTTGATAAACTTCATGAGGGCATCCTGTCAAAGTCGCACCCCTTGCTCTGGACAATGTCACCGGCCGGGTGACACGGCTTGCTCCAGTTCTTCTCTGGGTGAGCTCGGGAAAGCTTCATCACCTTTTCTTGCAACTCGTCAGCCGGTAGATGACCAAGGCTCTTAACCTGTGGTTCCGTCTGAAGCCTGTGATTCAACAGGGGATCTATGTGGTTGTCCCGTTATCTTTGGCAACCTTCTGCCGTTCCCCCCTCAGCATACGCAGCTGCCTGTGCAGAAGCTTCCAGTTTTCCAAGGAATCCATGGTTCATGCGCCCGTGGCCACTTAGCCAAGGCTATGCGCGCTCTGCCTTGAGCAGAAACACGCGTTTGCACAACTTGCCTTGCAGCCTTAATGCCACAGCCCGCTTTGCAGAAAGGACCTGTCATCACAGCCCTCAATGGTCCTTAATGGCCCCTATCTCTGAATCCAGGGGATGTGTATGACATATACATATATATATATATGTATATATATATATGTGTATATATATATATGTATATATACGCACTACGCGTGGGTAGAATCCAGAGTTCAAAATGGAGCAATGCCGTTTTCATCTGCTGCGCGCAAGTGATTTGTGCTGGGCCCGGTTTGAGGCGCCCTTGGCATCCTTTTGCAGAGAAGCTGAGAGGGACTTGCGGAGGCCCAGGCTTTCTGCCAGCTTTTTGACGGAAGGCAAGGGGAATGCTGGCATCTTCCAATGCCTCTCCACTTTTTGTTTGCCTCAATTTGCAGTTCTTTCGTGAAGAATCTACTTTTGGACTGGTCAAGCGTATCCCCGTTTGAGAGCCCTGCAGGGAAGCTCGGCTTCAGCGCCCAAAGACAGGCCGCTGCTAGCCGTCGACCTGTGTGTGTGTGTGTGTGTTGGCATTTGGTTCTCAACCTTTAAACTGCAAGCCCAGCCCCAACCCTGGACCTAGTTTGCAAGCATCAAGTTAGTTTGGTCTTCCTTGATCTCTGAATGCAGCTGAGATTGTACCAGACGTTGCCATCGGTCAGATTCCAAAAGAACTTATTCTTTGGACTACGCAGGGAGAGTGGATTGAGGGCCTGTTGAATAGGCTGCCACCGCATTGCAGGCGCTGACACGTGCAGTGACTCATCTTGTGCTGCCGACGCGAAGTGAGGAAAATGCGAAGTGACTCGCAGATTGCTGGCAATGTTTATCGCCTTGGCTGCAGGGCAGAGGCTTTTGGAAATTAATTGACCCATGGCAGAAAGACGCAATTCAGAAAGACCTATGCCTGTTTTTGTCCATTCTGGGCTCAGCAAGAGAGCGGATGTAGTGTATGTACTGCACACATCCTTCTTTCATGTTCCAGCACAGTGGCCCAGCACCTGCTGATCAGGGTCACGGGGAGAGCAGAGGGAGCGGATGCGCAGATTGAGATCGACACCCTGCTCCTGGGGGAAAAGAGCGGCTTCTTTGAGGCCTGATTGCTGGCTTCTGGAATGCATCCATAGCATATGCAAGCATGCCCACAGTCACACCCACACACAGGCTTGTGCGCACGAGTTGGCAAATGCACAAGGGATTGCAATGTGTTACAACAGGCCATTAAGCTCTGCAGGAAGCTTAGAACTGACATTTCAAAGAGGTAGAGGGCTTTGCTTCTGAAGCAGCCAAACAAGAGCTGTGGTGCTGCAGTGCATCAGATGATCTCGCTGCTGTGGCTGCTGTTGCTGTGGCACCCAGTTTGCGCGGCCTAATTGGGAGTGAAACAGAAGCTGAGGTTCCCCGGCTGAGCAGCTGTCTTCTGCCTTCCCGGCATGTTCGCGGTGCCGATGGTTTCCCAGCTGAAGCCAAGTGAGCATGTTACGATTTGAGACCCGATGCTTCCGCCGAAGAAAACATGTCTGGTCGCGTTTGACCAGACGATTTCGCAGCCAGCCAGCAGAAACAAAAGTTAATAGCCTTCGGGCACTGTTCAAAATCATCCCTGAATCTTTTTGATAGATTGTTATGGTTTCCCTTGTAATATCCCATTAGGCATGCCTGACTAGACCTAGGGACCCCCGCATTTTGAACAACCAAGTCTGACCACGTTGGAACACACGGCCACACTTGCGCATTTCACTCGGCAGGTCGGACCAGGCAGACCTGAAGCTTCGCAACCGATCAGTCGAGTTAGCACCAGCGACTCTATGGATGTGGATGCAGGACACGCACACATGTGCCTTTGTACAACGCGTTTGGGTCAACGACTGCAAGGGGTGCGAGAGACTGTCATCAGCCCTCATCATAGTATGTTGAGTCATTTGTGATAGTCTCGGATTCAAGGAATTTGGAGTCAGGGGGGAAGCTCCAGCATGTACAATGTGAGCTTTGACTGCTTTTGGCCTGCTGCTGAAGGAGGCGATGCTCAGGCCGCACCCAAGGCCGGGCCAGTGCCTATCCCTGAGAAGATATTGGCCTTGCTTCGGCCCAGGCAACGGCAGATCCGGAACCAGCATCAGATCAACCAGTGCTTCCCTCTGAAGAGGCTCGCAGATGAGGTACAGTCAGCAAGAGTGTTTGTCGTTCATGACAATGTCGACCCGTGAGGTAGACGTCGCCATGCCTGATGAGGGCCAGATGCCTGTCGGGTGCGATGAATTCATAGGGAAGCAGTGGAGTTGGCCCCTACCAATCACACATTGGACACACTCGTGGGGCCTGGGTGCCTGGAACGGATGGCAACAAGACTGCCCTATCCTGGCCTTCTTTTCATGTGGTTTTCACAAGCATGCACGTGGCCCCCTGTCGCCCTCGTTGGACAGCGAGTATATCTCCCATTCATTTTTTGCTAATCAATTCAACATGTTTAAACCGAGTGGGCTTCTCACCGAGTCTCAGATCCAAAGCGCTATCCGTCTATCTAATACATCAGGCCCTGGATGGAGTGACTCCTATGTTATTTAAGGGCTGCCGCCCAGTGCCGCCGACCCCTCCGCTGGGGGGCCAGCCCAGGTTTTTTTTGTTCTGTCAGCGGCTTTTGGCTGGTTCAGGCTTGCTGGCTTGCTTGCTTGCTCGCTTGCTTGCTTGTTTGCTTGTTTTCAGCGCTTTTCCAGGCCGCACTCGTTTGCCCACAGCGAGCACCAACCAAAGGAGTGCTATATAGAAAGTAGACAGCTATCGGTCCCCAGGGCGCAACCAGCAAGAACAGCTTCGCGTCCAGCGCGCTTGGAGGCCGCACTCGCTTCGCTGCAGCGAGCACGAACCAAAGGAGTGCGCCGGCAGCCTGCTCCGCCGCGGCCGAGTGCCTAACGTCGCATTTGAGTCCAATATGCAGCAAAGCTATCGGTCCAGAGGGAGCGGCCAGCCACAAAAGCTTCGCTTCCCGCGCTTTTCCAGGCCGCACTCGTTTGTCCACAGCGAGCGCCAACCAAAGGAGTGCGCCGGCAGCCGATAGGAAGAAAAAAGGCCGAGCGGGTGGGTCTTCAGCGCGAAAAGCTGTGCCGAGCAGGTAGTTGAGCACGCTCGGCCTCCTCAGCTCAGGGGCAGTTGGTGTAGTGGCATCACACCCGCTCAGCACGCGAGAGGGGCCGGGTTCAATCCCCGGCCTGTCCATGCCCATGTGCGCCTGCGTTGGTCTTTCTCGCTTAGGGTTTGCTGTGCGTCTTGCCAAGGGCGGCTGCTGCGCCGCGGCCGGGTGCCGAACGTCACTTTTGAATCCTATATATAGAAATAGTATTAGTGAGAAATAGTATTAGTAGAAAGTATAGAAAGTATAGAAAGTAGAAAGCTATCGGTCCCCAGGGCGCAAACCAGCAAGAACAGCTTCGCGTCCAGCGGCCTCTTTTCTTCCTATCTGCTGCCGGCGCGCTCCTTTGGTTGGTGCTCGCTGTGGGCAAACGAGTGCGGCCTGGAAAAGCGCTCAAGCACCTGCAGGGCACAGTTTTCAGCGCTGAAGCTCTGTCACGGCGTCCGGCCTTTTTGCTTCCTTTCTGCTGCCGGCGCACTCCTTTGGTTGGTTCTCGCTGTGGGCAAACGAGTGCGGGCCCGCCCGTTCGGCCTCTTTTCTTCCTTTCTGCTGCCGGCGCACTCCTTTGGTTTCTTTCCTTTTCCTTTCTGCTGCCGGCGCACTCCTTTGGTTGGTGAAACGAGTGCGGCCTGGAAAAGCGCGGGAAGCGACGCTTTTGTGGCTGGCCGCTCCCTCTGGACCGATAGCCTTGCTGCATATTGGACTCAAACGCGACGTTAGGCACCCGGCCGCGGCGGAGCAGGCTGCGAACGGGCTGGCCGTGACAGAGCTTCAGCGCTGAAAGCTGTGCCCAGCAGGTAGTTGAGCACTCTCGGCCTGCTCAGCTCAGGGGCAGTTGGTGTAGTGGCATCACACCCGCTCAGCATGCGAGAGGGGCCGGGTTCAATCCCCGGCCTGTCCATGCCCATGTGCGCCTGCGTCTGGCACCGTTTGCCTATCCCTGGCACGAACCAAAGGAGTGCGCCGGCAGCCTGCTCAATATGCAGCAAGGCTATCGGTCCAGAGGGAGCGGCCAGCCACAAAAGCTTCGCTTCCCGCGCTGGTCCAGGCCGCACTCGTTTGTCCACAGCGAGCACCAACCAAAAGGAGTGCGCCGGCAGCAGAAAGGAAGAAAAGAGGCCGAACGAGCAAGCCCGCACTTGTTTGCCCACAGCGAGCACCAACCAAAAGGAGTGCGCCGGCAGCAGAAAGGAAGAAAAGAGGCCGAACGGGCTGGCCGTGACAGAGCTTCAGCGCGGAAAGCTGTGCCCAGCAGGTACTTGAGCACTCTCGGCCTCGGCTCAGGACCAGTTGGTGTAGTGGCATCACACCCGCTCAGCATGCGAGAGGGGCCGGGTTCAATCCCCAGCCTGTCCATGCCCATGTGCGCCTGCGTTGGTCTTTCTCGCTTTGGGTTTGCTGTGCGTCTTGCCAAGGGCGGCTGCTGCGCCGCGGCCGGGTGCCGAACGTCACTTTTGAATCCTATATAGAAGTAGTAGAAAGTATAGAAAGTATAGAAAGTAGAAAGCTACCCCAGGGCGCAAACCTGGTGCTCGCTGTGGACAAACGAGTGCGGCCTGGAAAAGCGCGGGAAGCGAAGCTTTTGTGGCTGGCCGCTCCCTCTGGACCGATAGCCTTGCTGCATATTGGACTCAAACGCGACGTTAGGCACCCGGCCGCGGCGGAGCAGGCTGCGAACGGGCTGGCCGTGACAGAGCTTCAGCGCTGAAAGCTGTGCGCAGCAGGTAGTTGAGCACTCTCGGCCTGCTCAGCTCAGGGGCAGTTGGTGTAGTGGCATCACACCCGCTCAGCATGCGAGAGGGGCCGGGTTCAATCCCCGGCCTGTCCATGCCCATGTGCGCCTGCGTCTGTCACAGTTTGCCTCTCCCTGGTCTTTCATCCCTTTGGGTTTGCTGTGCGTCTTGCCAAGACCGGCTGGTACGCCGCGGCCGGGTGCCGAACGTCACTTTTGAATCCTATATAGAAAGTAGAAAGCTATCGGTCCCCAGGGCGCGACCAGCAAGAACAGCTTCGCGTCCAGCGCGCTTGGAGGCCGCACTCGCTTCGCCGCAGCGAGCACGAACCAAAGGAGTGCGCCGGCAGCCTGCTCCGCCGCGGCCGGGTGCCTAACGTCGCGTTTGAGTCCAATATGCAGCAAGGCTATCGGTCCAGAGGGAGCGGCCAGCCACAAAAGCTTCGCTTCCCGCGCTTTTCTTTTCCGCACGTTTGTCTACAGCGAGCACCAACCAAAGGAGTGCGCCGGCAGCAGAAAGGAAAAGGAAAGAAAAGAAACGAAGAAGAACAAGAAAAAAGTGAAAGAAAGAAGGCTGGTAAGGTACAGGGCTGAACGGGCGAGGGCGAAAGGGAAGGGAGAAGGCTGCCACAGTCACGCTCCAACGCTAAACGAACACTCCCCCAGCGCCTTCCCCTTGCAGGCAGGGGGGTCGGCGGATATATGGTACACGTACATGAGTCAATATCCGTGTCCTTGCACAGGGATGGTCCCGGAACGCCCTGAAGCCTGACCATTCGGAGCCAAGGCCAGGCAGCCTGCTTCGATCCCTATTTCGCAGCGCCCCCAACGCCTAGGACACGTAAGGAGCCTCGGGTTTGACCCTGCAAAAAAGCAACTATGTGTGTCCATGCTTTTTAGTTCAATTACATCCATGCGCCTGTTGGGCTTCTGAGCTGAAGTTGATCAGAAATTGCCACGCGCCGAGGCGTCGGCCGAAGCTGAAGACGTTGAAGGCCCCGTGGGAAGGGCTGCAACGCAGCATTCCTAAAGAGCGGAAGTGCGACTTACCAAGCGACCGAAGCTCCGTTTGGCAGGTTCAGCTGCCAAGGCTGATGCGACTTGGCGACGCAACTGCTTCTATGCATTTTGTTTTGGTGCTGCCCTGGTATGTGTGCGTGTGTCTCAAAACTTGGAATATTGTGGCGTTCAAAAGGACACCAAATCGGAAACACCACCGGGAAGGCCCTAGCTTTGAGAAACACCCTGGTCGACAATTTGAAACAAATTGGACAAATGTCATTTTGCCTCAGGTAGGGTCATGTTTACGGCAGAGTCACGCATTGTGTTCTGGCATCCAGGTGGCAGCTGAAGCCGCTCCCATGGATGCAATGGCGGCAGAAGCTGCTCCCACGGATGCAGTAGCGGCGAAAGCGGCTGCCACGGACGCAGCAGCAGCGGAAGCGGCTCCGGCAGATGCTTTTCAGTAAAGAACTGCCTGGTTGCCTAGCCTTCGTTGCCCAGAGGCTCGTGCTCATTTTGGAGCCATTCTACACGACTAGAAACTGAGTTCTCCACGTTAAATTGGCAAAGACGTGTGCATGTTCGCCGGCATTTGTGATTTTGCTCGTAGACAGGAGGGTTAGGTCATTTCTGGATATGGTGTTCATTTGTTGGTTGCAAATCAGAACTGATAATTGAGAATGACCTTCAGCTCATGACATAAACGTAACAACATGCATACTTGATTGGTTGCCTCCTTCTGAATCGTTTCTTTGTTGGATATGCGGTGAGTGTTGATGTGGCAATACCCACTTAATCATTTTAGTGACACAACAAGGATATTATACTAGCCGGTGTTCTGAAATTACCGAGTACATCCTACAAATCGGCTGGTTGGACATAGATAGGGTCCAGCCAAATTCAGGAAATCCAAAATGGGGCGCGACTGACAAGTTTCCTTAAGCCATTTGCATGACTCCTTTCCTGTGTGGTTTTGTCCTGTGTAGAACGGGGCCGGCGTGCCATGAGCTGCTGGTCATGAGGCGCCACCAGGGAATCTGGGCCCGGCCTCACCCCCTCCCACCCTGCCAATGCCATGGTGGGATTCTGTGGAGGTCCTGGAAGACCATGTCGGAAGGGAGGAAGAAACGCTCAAACGCTCAAGACATGGCCCTGGTAGGCTGTTCACACTGGTCATGGCGCGAGGCGTCGAGAGAGTTGAGAGAGCAGTGTTTTTTTAGCTGATAACATGGGGTGGCTGGGCTGGGAGCACCAATCACCTAGTCTGTTCTGCATGAGTCCATCCATTGTGATGCGCGTCACACTGGCCTTGATACAGCAACCTGAAAGTGGCCCCAAAAGCCGCTGGATTGCACTGTGCAATGGATGCCACGTGTCATCCAGAAAATCTTAGGGTATGCATTCAAGCAGACACTGGCATGTCGAAAGGCAGCTACTGATTCATGCCGAGCCCCCCCAATCTTCCAAACATGCCACAGAAAGCGCACTTGCTGAGTTTCGTTTCAAAACTTAAATTCTGGTGATGTACAATGTAGAAGAACACGGACATCCAAAAGTGAAAGGACATCCACATTGACATCGAGGAGGCGTGGTAAGAGCCAAGTTACCCGGCAGAAAAGTTGATCTCTTCGCGTCCAGGCCACCGGCAGATGAAGACTTGTCACATCTTGCGGAATCATGATCACTCTGAGCGGAAAAGGTGGCACTGCGTACGGAAGTGAAACTGTCACTGCTTACGGAAGTGAAGCCACTACACGCGGAAAAGTATAGGGGTAGGAAGCTCCTTCCTTTCTAAGGCTCCTTTCTAAGGCTCCTTTCTAGGGCTCCTTTCTAAGGCTCCTTTCTAGGGCTCCTTTCTAGGGCTCCTTTCTAAGGCTCCTTTCTAAGGCTCGGCTCCTTTCTAAGGCTCCTTTCTAGGGCTCCTTTCTAAGGCTCCTTTCTAGGGCTCCTTTCTGAGGCTCCTTTCTAAGCTCCTTTCTAGGGCTCCTTTCTAGGGCTCCTTTCTAAGGCTCCTTTATAAGCTCCTTTCTAGGGCTCCTTTCTAGGGCTCCTTTCTAGGGCGGATTCCAGCTCGAAAAGCGGATCCCCAAGACAACCTTCGCCGGGGATCCGCTTTTCGAGCTGGAATGCCGGATTCCAGCTCGAAAAGCGGATCCCCAAGACAACCTTCATCACGACCCCTTTCAGGAGGGATTGGCCGGGGATCCGCTTTTCGAGCTGGAATGCCGGATTCCAGCTCGAAAAGCGGATCCGCAAGACAACCTTCATCACGGCCCCCTTTCAGGAGGGATTGGCCGGGGATCCGCTTTTCGAGCTGGAATGCCGGATTCCAGCTCGAAAAGCGGCAAGACAACCTTCATCACGGCCCCCTTTCAGGAGGGATTGGCCGGGGATCCGCTTTTCGAGAATGCCGGATTCCAGCTCGAAAAGCGGATCCCCAAGACAACCTTCATCACGGCCCCCTTTCAGGAGGGATTGACCGGGGATCCGCTTTTCGAGCTGGAATGCCGGATTCCAGCTCGAAAAGCGGATCCCCAAGACAACCTTCATCACGGCCCCCTTTCAGGAGGGATTGGCCGGGGATCCAATTTTCGAGCTGGAATGCCGGATTCCAGCTCGAAAAGCGGACCCCCAAGACAACCTTCATCACGGCCCCCTTTCAGGAGGGATTGGCCGGGGATCCGCTATTCCAAGCTCGAAAAGCGGATCCCAAGTACAAACCTTCATCACGACCCCTTTAGGAGGATTGGCGGGGATCGCTTTACGAGTGGATGGCAGGATTCCAGCTCGAAAAGAGGATCCCCAGAACAACCTTTCATCACGTCCCCTTTCAGGTGGGAATTGGCGGGATCGCTTTTCGAGCTGGAATGCCGGATTCCAGCTCGAAAAGCGGATCCCCAAGACAACCTTCATCACGGCCCCCCTTTCAGAGGGATTGGCCGGGGATCCGAGCTGGAATGCCGGATTCCAGCTCGAAAAGCGGATCCCCAAGACAACCTTCATCACGGCCCCCTTTCAGGAGGGATTGGCCGGGGATCCGCTTTTCGAGCTGGACCCCCTTTTCAGATCCCCAAGACAACCTTCATCACGGCCCCCTTTTCAGGAGGGATTGGCCGGGGATCCGCTTTTCGAGCCAAGACAACCTTCATCACGACCACCTTTCAGGAGGGATTGGCCGGGGATCCGCTTTTCGAGCTGGAATGCCGGGATCCCCAAGACAACCTTCATCGCGGCCCCCTTTTGGAATGCCGGATTCCAGCTCGAATCCGGCATTCCAGCTCGAAAAGCGTATCCCCAAGAAACTTTCTTCCGGCGCCTTTCAGGAAGGATTCTTGGGGATTCGCTTTTAGAGCTGGAATGCGGATTTCCAGCTC